ATCAATAATTTTTTTTTTTTTTTTTAACNAAATTTTCCATCACATCAATAATTTTTTTTTCTTTTTCAATCACACATTTCCCATCATATCACTATTCAAAAATCAATTCTTCCCCAAAAATTCCCTACCAAACACACTCTAAAAGAGAAACTACATGTATTTACGTTTGATTGTGTTATTTTTTCTAGTCAATGTCTAATCCTTTTTGGACAACTTTTAAATGTTTGGTGGAAAGACTTGAATGTGGGTCCCATTTTTTTTGTTTGGTGTGGATCTTTTTGTCTACCTTGGGTACTCTAAAAACCTTAAAAAATTTAATCGACATAGTTAATATGGCATCAAAGTCAAAAAAATTCAAACGATTGTTTCAACCCTGTCTAAAGTTTAGACAAACAATTTAATTTTAAGATTAGTATTTTCAACAAGTCAATATTTCGCAAGGCATGTTGAAGATAAAATCTCATATCAAATAAGTATAAGTATAATAAACAACACATAATCGTTTGGGCTACTCACTAAGTAGCCTAATCTCTCATAAATTGTTTCAATACGTGGCAGCGTATGATTGAGTATTTTTATGATTTTTTTTCCCATTCTCCAATGAAAAATTGCCACATCATTTTGTTTTTTTGTTTTTCTGTCATTGACCATGGCCATGTAGGCTGTAGCATGGTTGAAATTGTTTATTATTTATTGATAGTGATAGTTTATTTTTACGGTCAATTCTTGTCTAATTGAGATTATCGCTTTAATACTGACCACACTGTGCATTGGATTATTCAAACTCGTAACCAAGGATACATTAATTAGAAAGAAATAAAAAATATGGATCATGTCGAAGACCCCGGAACCCTACAAACGCTTCATCCAAATGGTGGTTCTCATTTCTCAATCAAATTTGAATCAACCATCGTGGAAATAAGAACAAGTCATTGCATGTCTAAAATGACAAAAGACTTAGGTCCCACGATGCAACTCTACCTAACGTGTTCAATGCATTGTATGAAGCCATTGTTTGTTCTCTTTTATTTTCATAATATATTTTTTTCTCTTATTTTTAACCACACATTTTTTAATAAAATAATATTATACATAAATTAAAAACTCTTTTTTAACTACACGTTCCCCGTCAAATCACTGTTCCAAAATACATTTTTATCAAAAAAATTGGGGCTCAAACATGCTTTAAATAAATTCTAAATTTTTTCCCTTCTATTACTCCATTTTTTTTTTTTTTGTATTTATCCCATTAAACAAATAAACAAGCAAGTAGTTTTATTTGTTTTATTTATAAAAAAAAAGTCTCAATTATCTAAAGGGATAAAGTAACATGTGAACGATCTGACTTGAACGACTTTCACCGTATTGATTTGTCAATTTTCGTGGCACCTTATTGATTGACAAAAGTAACACGTGAACGATCCGACTTGAACGACTTTCACCATATTGATTGACAAAAGTAACATGTGAACGATCCAACTTGAACGACTTTCACCATATTGATTGGCAAATTTTCGTAGCACCAAATCAACGATTTCAAAAATGTTAGTTTCAGATGACAAATCCGATTCCTCGACCAATGCAAAGTATACAGTGAGTTTGACCAATGTCCCATCTCGAACTCGGTACACTAATTTTGGGGAGAAAAGTCCATTTGGCATGCATTATTGAATCGTACCAAACGTGCAAAACCTGACAGACAAATGTCTAGTCCTGCAAAGAAAGAACTCATTGGGAATTGCCATAGCAAGATAGAGATTTTAGGCGTGGCAAGTCATTGCACACGTGTGCATTGAATCGTGATGTAGCCCTTACAGTTACAGGTCTTGTCCCATAGGAATGGTGTATGTGTATTGACTATTGAACGAGACATTATTAAACATTAACATTTTTAAATACACAAAAGGATATGGTTAGGTCATCATGAACGTCGTTTCTTGCATTATGATATTATGGCCCCGTTCGTGAGGGATTAAAATCCAATTAAAATTGAAAATATGACCGTTATTGGGTCCCACTCCTCTAATAGACGGCTATATTTTCAATTTTAATCCGATTTTAATCCCTCCCATACAAGGCCTATGTTGAAATATTGCAAACATTATAATGCGTTTCGACAACCTGCGTACATTCAAGAGAAAGACGATTTGACATTTTATTATTAATTGTGTTTTCCCCATTACTACATAACGTGTATAAAACTATATAATGTACCCCGTAATCAGGAAGCTTGGTGGTATATCGAAAAGTATAACATATGAAAACAAATAGTAAACTGTAACCCTATTCCTTTCTAGTTCAACCTACAATTCAACTTACAAAATTGTTTGTAATGATCCTTTTTTTTAAATTTATTTTGATAAACAATGGATAAAATAGATTCCCACAAAATGGTAGAGCACCATTTCATAGCGCCAAGTTTGAAAACAATGGGAAAGGATCGACACAATAATATCGTCTAACGTGACTTGAAGGCATATTTAAATATTAAAACATTTGAATGTGTCCCAAAAAGTTAGTGGTTACGAAATGTGAGACCATGGTGGATCATTGGGTAAATCATTGATTCTCACTCATTTTCATCCTTCATCAGGTTGTAGAGCGAGGCAATGACGACGGCAACTTTGTTTTCTAGAATTCGAATTATTTCTGTAGGATCATTTAGCAGGACTGATAGTTGTAAATGTGACGACACCTCATGGTTTCTTTGTCTCCTCAGTCCAAGCATGACTTTCAGTTCAATTTCACACATATATACGATGTTAGTATTGCGGTACTTGTAAATGATCGAGCTTTTATATTCTTGTGGGATTCCGATGATCAAGTAAAGTTGGGTTACGAAGAAATACGGGAGGGTGGATGGTGAATATTTATAAGAATTTTTCATTGGCGATGTATGTTATGTAAGTAAAGGGATCTATTGAGTACAAATAGAATTGTCCCACCCATTCTTAGATACTCAGATAGAATAAGGAGAAGGTGCCATTTGCATAAGAGAACATTGAGATATTGAGAAAACCTCTTACGATGATAGACCCAATAAACTTTACCCGACTCGTGCAGAGTTATCTCCAACTCAGGTATATTTCTTATTGTAGAAATATTTTTTGTTCAGATACTATAAAATCATATAACAAAAGAAAACACACTACTTTTGAAAGTTTAAAAACTTTTAATAGTGATATATCATTTATCTCCGGTTTATAGACCGGTGATAATTAAAAAGGTTGTATTGCTACTACGGCTCATTACACTGATCGTCTATGACTTCTATATAAAACGATTATTGCATTCAGATATGTAGAATATTCTCATAATGTCACTAATATATACATGGCTTTAAAATATATTATACAAGAAATGGTTCGAAATTTTACTTTTGATAATATTAGTGTGAACAACAAAGTCGTTATCGAAAATTTTATTAATGATCTTAACCCTGCATTTAGAAGTTTATTTTTCATCAACATTGAGTATGCGGCATTATCATGGTAGAAGTGTAACAAAAGACAATATCCAATTGTATCAAAAAATTCACTTGATCTATTAACACCTTCGATGTCTACGGCAGCATCGAATGCTGCATTTAGTTTAGGTGGTTGGGTTTTATTAGACGAGCGATCAAAATTAAAAGAATATATATTGGAGGCTTTAGTATGCTTGAAGGTTTGAGAATGTGCGGAATTGCGTATTCAAGAACAAGCAGACAGTATAATAGTCGAAGAGTTGCAACAAATCCAAAGATAAGATATTGTAAGTTTTTAAATTGATTAGTTTCAAATAAATACGCAATTTTTAAATTTATTTGTTTCAAAAAAATTGTACACAGAGATATTTTATTAGTGTGCAATTTTTAACTCCGCATACGTTGATTGTAACCAATTGCAAGCCTGAAAAAAAAGAGGAGGATTCTAACTTTTATTTAATTTATAATTCTTATAAATTGCATAAATTTTTAATTCTTTCAAAAAAATTTAAATTTGTCATAAATTTAAAAAAAATTTTGAGCCGAAAACTCAGGTCAAGTCTAGATTTTTTAGTCAGGTAAAAGCTCGACTCGACTCGATCGAGGGACCAAAAAAGTCCGTATCATTTTTACTCGAGTTGAGCCCGAGTTTCAAGCCGAGTCAGCCCAATTCGTTGACAACCCTAGGCAAACTTCAAAGTTTAAAACAATAAAGAGTGTCGTGTATTACCCCCACAAATCACACGTAGGGATTAAATATGTCAATGGTCAATGTACTTCTAATTGTTTATTTAATTAATCACTCAGTCGCCTTCTATTTGAAAAATTAAAAATGTTTTTCCTAATAATCACTAAACCTAACAAAATGTTATCTCAATGGTCATTGTACTTACATCAATTGTATGTCGTGTCGACAATTCATTTGTCAAATCATCAAAATTATAAATTTTCAAAATAAAATGAGATAGAATGACGAATGAGATAATGTAATTAAGCTCCTGTTTGAACCTAATTTTTTTAAAATTCTATTTTAATCACACTTTTTTTAAAAAAATATTATTTCACAATACATTTTACTCAAAAAATGGGAATCAAACATGGCTTATAAGGTTTCAAGATTTAATGACAAGAAAAACAAATTCATTAACTTTTTTTTGATGAATTACACCAAACTAATGTTCAAATGCCGTGTGTGTACCTTGTAAACAAGCGATACGGCAAAAGTGTCGGATCAGTGTAGAAAAATCCGATAGTATATTCCTTCTAGTCATAATTCCATACCTTTTGTAGCCAGATTTTCTTTTTATATAGCGGAATAAAGTTAAGTGTACAAATAGAAAACAATTTATTAAAATGGATGAACGTGATAATGTTAAGTAAATTCATTATACGTATAACATGATTCCACATAGAGATGATACCCAACCGTGTGCTCCATTAATGCACCCTCCTCTTCTCTTTGCCTCAAATACTCGACTTTACATCCATTTTTCACACGCAGAAAACACACAGTATACTTACTGTGTGTGAAACCATGGATTCAACAAACATCTTTCTCTACTTACTAGTATCTTCTTTTCTTTTGTTAATTTTCCATCTCCTACGCACCACCACCCGCCGGAAACTCCACCTGCCACCGGGAAACCTTGGCCTCCCTTTTCTCGGGGAGACCCTCCAGCTCATCTCGGCCTACAAGACAGAAAACCCAGAGCCCTTCATCGACGACAGGGTCTCCAAATATGGCACCGTTTTCACAACCCATGTCTTCGGAGAACCAACCGTTTTCTCCGCCGACCCGGATATCAACAAGTTCATTTTGCAGAACGAGGGCCGGATTTTTGAGTCGAGTTACCCTGGTTCAATTTCCAACTTGCTAGGAAGGCATTCTTTGCTTCTCATGAAAGGGAGTTTGCATAAAAGAATGCATTCACTCACTATGAGCTTTGCAAATTCTATGATAATTAGAGACCATTTGTTGGTGGATATAGACCGGCTGGTCCGGTTGAACATGGATGCGTGGACCGGTCGGGTCCTCCTAATGGAGGAGGCCAAGAAGGTAAACTCTAATCATCCGGCGCATTTTAGAACCTGAATATAATAATGCAAGCACACTTTAGCACGTAATCATCATGTTCCATGGACTGAAGTGCGTGTGTTATGATTCATGTTTGGAGAATAAAATTTAAACTGGATGAGTCAGATTCCCACAGTGGGTGTTACATAATTTTCCGGTTCAAGTTATCATCGCGCATAATCGAGAGTCGAGATTTATTATCCCCTGTCAATCTTTCTCTTGAATAATTTATATTAAATTTTTAAACACATCAATCTTGAGGTTGAAAAGTTATGAATTTCATCTCTCGAACCATACATGCATGTGGGCCCACTGGGTTTTTATTTATGTATTATTGCCATGAGCTTTAGAAGCTGCACATGTTTATGAGTATGATCATGGATTATTCTATTTGCCTTTCAGCGCACTATGTTTTGTTTTCTCATGATTGTCAGGTTCTATTTAGAAGGTTCCTTTTCTTCTTCTTTTCAAGGGATTGCTTTTATGAGTTGGGATTTCTATTTTATAGTTGTAATCTTAGAAAAAAAAAGAAAAAGTATTGATTTTATTTATATATGTGCACAGATCACTTTCCAGCTGACAGTGAAGCAACTGATGAGTTTTGATCCCTGTGAATGGACTGAGAATCTGATGAAAGAATACATGCTAGTCATTGAAGGATTCTTCACTATTCCTCTACCAATATTTTCCACCACATATCGCAGAGCCATCCAAGTAAATATTTTTCACCTTCCTTCAATAATTAATTCCCCTTTTTTTTTTTTCAAATATATTAATTTAGTAAATATTTGAATAATTTGAAGGCAAGAGGAAAGGTGGCGGAGGCGTTGGGATTGGTGGTGAGGGAGAGAAAGAAGGAGACTGAGAAAGGAGACAGAAAAAACGACATGTTGGCGGCGTTGCTAGACGAAGAAGGCGATAGCGGTGGAGGGTTCTCCGACGAGCAAATAGTTGATTTTATGCTGGCTTTGTTGGTGGCGGGTTATGAGACCACTTCAACAATTATGACTCTAGCTGTTAAATTCCTCACTGAGAACCCCAGTGCCTTGGCTCAACTCAAGGTCAGTTCTTCTCCGTCTACAAGAAATTTCACTTTTAACAAAAATAAAAAATAAAAAAACAATTTTATCGTAAATTGAAATTTCTTGTAGCAATGTTTACTTATTATTATTTTCCTTCCGTGAAAAAATGAATTAGCTTTAAATTGGATAGGGACCCAAAATCCCCCAACCATCCAGCATGGTGGCCTCCGCATTCAATGGGGCATGCATATCTATCCTTATCTAAATTCTCATCCAAACAAATTCTACAGGATCATAATCGTAGTGTACACTAAGTTGTCAAAAGAAGAAAATTAACTGGGGACAGCAGATCTCATCTTCGAGATCTGGTGTCACAAAAGTATTTTATTATCCACAAATTTATTTAGAAAATAAGTAACGCCATGTGCCAACTTTCCGTTGAAGTGGCAAGGATCTGACTGTCTTCAATAATGCGATTGATATGGCAGTAGGATCTATTACCATTTAAACGTGTGCTTTTCATCGTGGCGATACGTATCATTATTTTTAGAGAACGTATAATGACAAATTCGGATAATTCTTGAATTATTTCTTAAACATAGTCATCCTTCTTGGTAGTTAGTGGTCCTCACATCAGTTGTAAGTTCAATCCTAGCGATCTCACGCATCTATCAAGGTTACATAAATTTGCCATATATGTTCTAGTCCTTTATGAAATCTTAACCTTGAATACTAAAAAGTCACAAACATATGCTAACTATAGGTTCATATAATAGATGGCCGGTCTACTTGGTAGTTAGTGGTCCACACATAACATTACAAATTAGCTCACACATCGTCGGATACATAATTTACCATATATGTTATAGCTCTTAACGAAATCCTAACCTTGATATTTGAAAGTTACAAATCGGTCTACTTGATAGTTAGTGGTCCATACATCACATGTAACTTCAAATGTGATCAGTTCACGCGAACTGGGTTTGCGTGCCATGTTCAAGTAGCAAGACAGCCAAGACTCTTTTGCCCTATAAGTTCTAGACCTTAATCTTTGATATTAAGGGTGTGTTTGCTGTGGTTTTTCTTCAGATTTTCATTCAAAATATAGTCGTTTTTTTCAAACAGTGGCCCTCACACCTATCACCCATAGTCAATTGTTGCGGCTGTAGATATCAGCAACGGTTGAAATTTCAATAAAAATCTGGCAAAGAATTGACTCCAGACACAACCTAAGAAGTCACAAACGATTAACAAGAACACACCCCCGAATGAATTCCTAACATTAATTATCATTATGAAAGCAACGTATTGTCAGCTTAGAACCCTCGAAGTATCAATGTCCACACGTGGAATTGTGTCTAATATACCCATATTGAAATGACGAAATGCCTTCAGAGTCCCAGTTATGAAACTTGTGCGGCTAGAATTTAATAGTCGGTGTGGTCAAAAGTAGGCAGAAGTACAGTTATTAAAGTCAAAGTAGTAAAAAGGTCTTTAGCAGACAGACGACATTCGTTGCCTTACAAATGGACAAAATGATGCCCCCACAAAACTGCCCACGCCTTTGCCTCACTACTGCCATAACTGTTATGTTGTAGGGGCATTTTCGTCTGCTTAACTAAAATTTCAATTAAATTACTAAGGACTTAAGGAGTTGTTCTTTTCATGTTTCGATTTTTATTTTTGAATTCAGTTTGAATTTTGTATTTTGAGTGTTCATTTTAAGATTGTTGAAAACACGCTCTTTTTGTCATTTTGAAAATTTGTTTAAAAATAAAAATAAAAATGAAGTTTTGGCTTGATTTTAACTGAAAAGAGTCAAAACGACTTTTTTGACGCTTTCCGTTTTCTTTGTAAATTTTAAACTCGTTTTTGGAAATTCGTTTTTTAAATAGGTAAGTAAATGTATTTTTAGTGTTTTCGAAAACTGAAAATGACCTGAAAACAGCAAAGAGAACATGTCCTAAATTTTTGTGTGTGGGAATTAGGGTGTCGAACTTCGATTTAGTTTTAGATTTATGTTCTATCGGATTTCCTTTGTTGGTAGTCATAACGGACACTGGTAACAAGAAACGGTGAATAATGTTCTTGAAATTAAAATATATAGGATTCATTGATTTGTGTTCTAATTTTCAGTTTTGTATTTATTTTCGATTTTAACTTTATTTTAAAACACATTTGATTTGGAACTATTTCTGTACAAAAACTTGTTCGGATTGTCGTAAGACATGTTTCTTTGGACCGTCTGGTTCGAAGGAGATATCTTGGAAAGAGTGACGCACAAATATCGAGGGATTTTAAATCTGACGGTGGAAGACGGTGTTCTAATTGTGTCAGTAGAGCTCACCCAAAACTAGGGATGGGATAGGGATTCCGTGGCTTTTAGTACTGTTGGAACATAAAAGGCTGATATATGTATAGTATCTGTATCTATTTTTCGAACAGTACAAAGTTATTTTATTTATACTGTGTACTGAACTATTAAGTCTGTGTCCTAGGTCTGGGACTAGGCATAATATTCTTTATTTTCTTATTTTTTATAAATTTGACTAGGAAATTTCAAATAAATAATATATGATTTTCGAAATTATTCATCTATCCACCTTGTTTTTTATCAGAAAAAAATAATATTTAGAATTCTTGATTCATGCGTGTCATTTGAGCTAGATTTGATTGTCGAATTTTTCCGTCTTTATACTAGTTTTTGTTTTTCATGGTAGTCAAGTCACTCGGATGATAATTTAGAAGAATTTTGTTTTACTCGAGTTCTACATATCTGTTACGATGAGAATACATTATTCAGCATAGTGGTGGCAAACGAGCCGAGCTAGCTCGGCTCGTTACACACGAGCTCGAGCTTGTGGCTCGTTATAAAACGAGCTGAGCTTTTGCTCGGTCCACGAGCTCGTACTGTAGCTAGCGGAGTCGCTCGGCTCGGGCTCGCCTTTTTTGAATTTTTTTACCTATCCTTCTTAAAAAAAAATAAAAATTAGACGAGCCGCTCGTCAAAGAATCAAGTGTGGGTGAAAAAGAGAGAGAATACTCCTAGGTATTGTCCACATTACTTGAGATTAAACCTTAACGCATGGATTTGGTATCTTGGAGTATAGTCTAACTCTTGTAGTTTTGACCTTGTCTGTGGACAGGAAGAGCACGATGAGATCCGGGCAAGGAAAGGCGAAGAGGAGACTCTTCAATGGGACGATTACAAATCTATGAGTTTCACCCAATGTGTAAGTGAATATACATTATGAGTTGAAGAACAAGTTGTCATGTGTTGATATCTTGATCGAAACTCTACGCTACCATTGCTTTTTTATTCCAGGTCGTGAATGAAACTCTTCGAATAGCTAACATAATTAGTGGAGTATTCAGAAGAGCAATGAGGGATGTCAGTATCAAAGGTAAAAAATGAAGTTCCTTTTATAAATTCCCAATACTTTCATGTATCCTTGTCATTTTTAGGATTCCAATTTGATGAGTCATAATCGAGTATCCTTGATTAATGTGGGCGAAGCGAATTTGGTTACGAAGATGTAGAAGTAGCGGTTCGATATGCTTTAAAGGTATTACACTAACGATATCATCCGTTTAAATTTATCTTGTTTTATTCAGGTTATACAATTCCAAAAGGATGGAGAGTCTTTGCTTCTCTTCGAGCTGTACACATGGATCACGACCACTTTAAAGATGCTCGCACTTTTAATCCATGGAGGTGGCAGGTACCTGGTCCTATCTATGTTTATTGTCCACATGGGGATAAAATCATGTTCCAATATTTGACAAAGTACTTTTGTGAGCAATTAACAGACAAATTCAGGAAGTAGTAGCTGCAGCTCAGTAAATGTATTTTCACCATTTGGTGGAGGGCCAAGGCGTTGTCCAGGGGCCGAACTTGGTCGAGTCGAGCTTTCAGTTTTCCTTCACCACATGGTCACTCGATTTAGGTAATATTACACTTGTGACTCCATTATGCTCGCTAATCGTGTTAATTTTTGAAACGTTAAACCTTTTTTTATTTTTTTGGTAAATTTGAATCTACAGTTGGGTATTGGCAGAACAAGACAAGCTAGTTTTCTTCCCAACAACGCGGACTCAAAAGCGGTATCCGATAATAGTTCAACGCAGAAATCCAGTAGAAGCAAACTCGTAGTCAACACCCTAGAATTGTATGTAGTAAATGAATCTAATAAAACGTGC